TGAACAAATAGAGAAAGTTTATGTCAAAGTTAATATTTAATTTAATTATTATTTTATTTTGCATTTCAAAACAGATCCTAAAATAAGACAAATGGAATTTCCAATAATTTAAAAATAAAAACCACGTGACTTTTACAAAGACGTAAAGTTACACCTAAGTGCGATGAACTTTTTATACTAAGACATGCGTAGAGTGGATTAATGCACAATCACAAACAATCGAAAAATACACAAATACATAAAATACACACACAGACACAATTACACATGTGTAAATAAACACACAAATCCAGCATTGCTCTCACAAAAAAGAAACACGTACTAGCGTTAGCAGATGTAGGTGTGATGTGATCCCAAGAACATAACTGATGAAAACTATGAAGATTCCGTGTCAAATACTCCACATTGTAATTTAGATTTCTCTAAATTAAATGGGATTAGCCAGAAGTAGATCCTCAACTTCGGAATTTTTTTAAATCGTCCCATCACTCTGCAATTATGGATCTGCCAGTTTGCTGGAACATAATTTGACACACAAACACGTACATGTACACTCATGTATGTATACATACAATTTTTTTTTCTAAAATTTTATTGACATCAAAGGCAATCAAGAAGTTATAATGAAAACTTGTGCAAGATGTTCAATAATTGTCAAATTAAGCAATGAATCAAAAAATTATATTTAACAGAAATAACATTTTGATTCATTGCTTAGTACAAAATACACACATACCAGACACACACACACATACATACACTCGCACGTGACTTTATTAGACTGTTTGTAGGTCTACGATTCTTTTAGTATGCTTTTTATAGACGTTCATTTAATATGTTTATGCCCGCGTCTATACATACATACGTGTATGTGTGAGTGTGTATGTTTGTATGTGTGTGTGTTTGTGTATGTGTTTGTGTGTGTATGTGTGTGTGTATCTAAATGTATATACTTACGTGCGTATAATTGTATAAACTAATTCACAGATATATTTTTTGTAGACTGTTTAGGAGTGAAAAACCCCGTAGCGTTACATAGGCTCGTGTTGTATCCCCCTTCTGTGTGTTGTAATTATCCATCAGATCACTTTAATGCATTTTTCTTGCGCTTATTGTATAACAAACACATACAAAAATTATACTATACACACACATACACACACGCAAACAAACACACACACACAAACACACACACACACACACATATATATATATATATATATATATATATATTAATATATATAATATATATGGACAGGACATACGGCCGATAAATCACGCCACAACAATCATTTATAAATATATGTATATATGTATATGTATAATACATACATACATATGTATGTATGTATGTATGTATGTATGCGTACAATACATAAAATACATACGTACAATACATACAATATATATATATATACATATATATATATAGTTTAGTGATATTTTAGTATATACATGCTGTGTGATGAAACCAGTCGTAAATGTTGAACTAATGTTGTTGTTGTTGCTGTTGTTGTATTGATGTTGTAACGGTTGTAGTTGTATTCATGTAACTTTGTTGTTGTTGTATTGATGTTGTAACGGTTGTAGATATATTCATGTAACTGCTGCTGCTGTTGTTGTTGTTGTATTGATGTTGTAAAGTTGTAGTTGTATTTATGTAACTGGTGTTTTGTTGCTGTTGTTTTGTTGTTGTTGTTGAGTTGTTGAATTTATGTTATTGTTGTGGTGTTGTTTTTTTTTTGTAAAAAGTAACTCTGAAAAACGCAGAACTGCTTACACGTGTATTTCTTTACTTCTGTTAAAACCTCTTGTCTCAAGAGTTCGGTACAATTCACACCACACGCACGCATACACGCATACACGCACACGCTCATGACGTGTGATAGCTATTGAGTTTCGGATAGACAGTATTCGAACCAGGAGGTCATCACGTAACTGTAACAGACATGACACTTTTACAGACTGAGCTAACTCGCCGGCCAATTGTTCTACCAACTTTTTTATATTTAATTTTTTGTTGTTTGTATTCTATTTTTAATTGTTTGAATTTTCAATTTTTATCTTTCCGTATTGTATTTTTATTTATTTTTCTTTTTTTTTCGTACATTTAACAATTTTTTCAACTTCACACATATTTTTCTCTCTCGTGTCAAAAGCTCGGTCCAAATAAATTATATGAAATAGCTCGTCATCAACGAGGTGTTTCATTAAATCGGGAAGTGTGTGCGTGCGTGCGCGTATGTGTGTGTGCGTGAGTATGTATGTGTGTGTACGTGCGTGTGTGTGTGTGAAAATATAAATTGTTGAGTGCCTATGCCTTGAACAGCATGTGAGGTACTTAGAATTTTTTCCACAATTGTTTCTTCATTGTTTCTCAGCCAGAGGCGTCCATAAACGACAAACATCGCACGAACACACACACACGCAACACACACAAGCATACACACACGCGCGCACATACACGCATACACGCAACCCAACACACACAAACACACACAAACGCAACACACACACAAACATACACACACACGCAACCCAACACACACACAAACACACACACATATCGAATACGTTAGCAGGAAGATGTGATCTTTAGAAACCAGATGACTGCAGCAACTGTTCCAAGCTTCCCAACCATGGCAGTTCACTAAGCTCGGGCGGAATTTTAAATTGAATGGTGGAAGTTTTTAGAATTTAGATTGATGGTTTAATTTTTTAAAAATTAAATGGTAAGAAGAATTATACATCAATCGATGAAGTTTAAATTTAGTTAGATACTCAAGATTTGTTTGACACACTGGTCTGAGGTTTCAGGTAATGAAATGATATTCGAAAGGTGTCGGTATAAACTCGTGAAAACCCAAAGATCAACTCTTGGCAATGGTTGCGTAAGAAATAATATTTAACATCTCTGCGATCTAGTCATATGATTTTTCGATGTGATTGTTTTAAACAACATGTTTGCATTTTCAAATAAAAAAAAACATACCGAACAAAACACTAGAGTGAAAGAATTTTGTTGGTGTACGCATACCCGTTCATAAATTCAAAACAATAAAAGCCATTTTCTTACAAATTGCTAGTATAAAAGACATGGCAAATACTAAATAGTTTTACACTATTTTACAACTTATTTAATTTTGATGTTCTTAGTAAGCGAATTTTTCAGTCTCAGTTGTGACTATACTGTCACCTTTAGGTACTATATGAAACATGACAGTATTCATAGAATGATGTTCGTGTGAGCATGTGTTTGTGTATATGTATTTATTTGACATTTCTGTTACATTGATAGTAAGAATTTGTGTGTATGTATTTATTTGACATTTCTGTTACATTTACAGTTGGAATTCTTAGTTAAGGGTGGCCTATCCACAAGTTTATCTTTTTTTGGTTATCCTTTAAATAAATAAATAAAATAAATAAATACAATTGTATGAATCCTATTTATTTAAAAGTAAACCAAATTTTCAATAATACAGAGCGATCGGCAGTTTTCAATATTTTACACTGATACAAGTTCATTGGCTCATCGACAGTTCAATTCCAGTGAGTAAAACTCATGTTCAGGGCCCTCCTCATCCAAAAACAGTTTCACTGAGACTATTAAACCATCGTATATATTCGTGAAAGGTCGGAGAGTTAGGGTTAAAATAAAAACAAAAACACTTCTACCTAAGAAATTCTTATTGCTTCATTTTTAAATTTAAAATATATTTTATAACAATGTCTCTAAAGTCCTAATTTCGAAGAACTTTTGTTAAAAAATACGACTGTCCCAAAAAAAAATTTTTTTTTTTTCATTAGTCTTTATTATTGCAGCTCTGACATACGCAAAACCACTTACAATGTTACAGATATATTATGTTATCTATATATCTTTTATTATGTTCTTCTTTTCTTCATCCATTGATATGAAGCAGCCATCTTCGCCACAAAGGCTGTTTATCCTTTTCACACGACGTACACATGTATTTATGTGCACGCGCAAGCACCGCATCATATACGCTGAGTATATGATAGCCATTGAGATGTTTGACTCGGCGAGCATTTGAACCACCGAGCCATCTCGCCAGCCAGCATGCGACAACTTACGTCGTCTACCCATTTACCAACCTCGAAAGGATGGACGGCTGAGTTGACCGGGGGTCGGCTACCCGGATGAATCCGTAGAAACTGCAGAATTCGAACCCGGGTCGTGGGAGTGGTAGACGGACACGCTAACCACTCGGCCATGAGATTTTTTAAAAATCGTTTGTTAGGCCTACTTGAGTTGCCTCAATTTTATTATTCCTACTATCACCTGGTTTTATGCATTCGTGTGAATACATAAGTTACGAATAATATAGGCAGGTATCGAATCGAGGGGGCCACGACTGGCCATGCTGCACCGAGCAAACTTCACGCAAAAGTGCACGCCACGCGTAAGTCGGGTGATGTGAATACGATTATTTCTCGTGGCAAATTATACGAGTGATTTATTCAATGTCTGAGTGGTCTTTAAACTGTATAAGACGATAATAATTAGTTTTATTTACTTCAATAAATTGTAAGAATATCAAATACATAAATAAAAATTAATAATAATTGATATAGAAATAAAAATAAATTTATAGATATAGTACATCTAGTACGGCGTAATTCCATGACACTTTGTTGCAGAAGTCACGGGATTCAGATTACAAGAGGTTCTCCGCCAATCCCGTGCGGAGTGGATGATGCCTTGTTTCGTGTGTATTTACATGACCTGTGTACGTTAAAGAATGAATTTTAAGTAACAAATAAATTACAATATATTAGAATGTTAAATACATATTTATTTCTTTAATTATCTTGTTAATTAATCAATTTACAATCTTTGTACCCACGTGACTAACAATGAATGATCGTAAATTTTTCCTATATAAGAAGGTTCTCATTTTCCTATCTGAGCTTACTTGAATAATTTCTTAAATTGCATTTAATAAATTTTGAAATTAAAACATTAGTGTGTGAAAATGCCAATTCAATACTCCTTGGTCTCACGCGGCAAGACGATTCTGGCTGAACAAGCCATGGTTCCTGGAAACTTCAGCCAAGTAGTTCCACACGTTCTGTCGCTGATTGCAGACTCGAGGGAACCTCGCAAAAGCTTCACGCACACCGATTTCATGTTTCACTCTTTGAAGGAGGATGAAATAATCTACTTGGCCATAGCGGATAAAGATTTCGACGAGTCCATGGCATTCAGGTATCTATCGGAAATCCAGACGAAGTTCTACTCGAGGTACAGTGCATTCGCGTACGTGGCATTTGCCTATGCCATGAATATGGAGTTTTCCAAAGTCATGCTTGCCAAAATGAAGCGCTACAACGCTGCCATGCAAGACCAGCTGGAAGATATCAAACGAATAATGGCTCGTAACGTAGAAGAGGTTGATAACAGAGGAGAACAGCTGGGACTACTCATGGGAAGGACCGAAATGTTATCAAATGACACCAGGGCATTCCAAAGGTCTAGTAGAGCAGGTTGGTGGGAGATGTTGCGAAAGAATTTGAAATGGATCATTCTCATTCTGCTGACTCTTTTGCTGGTGACGTACATTGTGGCTTCTGCTGCCTGTGGAGGACCAGCCTGGCCAAAATGTGTCGGCCCTAAATCTTCCAATCATAATTCGACGGGACGTTATTAGAATGAACTTGTTTGTGTGTTTATGTGTGTGTTTGTTTTTATGTGTGTTTTTTTGTATGTGTGTGTGTGTGCGTGGGTTGGTACGTACGAAGCTTCGTGTGTGTCTGCTAACTATTGTTGTAATAATGTTCTGCTCTACACGTACTTACTAAATGTTACCTATATATGTATTTGGTTCGGTCTATTTTCATGTTTTTTTAGATGTTATACGTTAGAGGTTTTAACATGTTAAAATGGTTAGAAGTATGCCTGTGTGTGTGTGTGTGTGTGTGTGTGTGTGTGTGTGTGTGTGTGTTACGGTTCATATCTCTGATTTTAAACATTACAATAAACTGGTCACTTCATTTTTTGATCAGCCTGTGTAAATATGTAAACCTCTTTGAATCTATCTCTTTATTTGTTTGAATGTTTTACGTATGTATCTTCACTCGATCCATTTTACTATTAAAATACGTGGCGAAGTTGAACAGCGAAAATGTGATAATTAAACATTTAAATGTAAAATAAGCTATTTATTATGAAATAAAAATACATTCGTTGTTTTTCAAGTTTTATTAGTACAAACAACATATGTGAATACGTGTTAAACGAAGTATCAAACACGAAGAATGTGATTGAAGGAGATTTATTTTTATTGTATTCGAATCGAACCCGGACACTGCGAAACAACTTCTGACGACTTTAACCACTAGGCCACCACGCCGTAAAATCCATTAACCATTCGCTAGAGTTTGAAAAACCTCATGAGTTGAATTAAAACAACTCATGAGTATAATCAGTATAATCAACTTCAGTATAATCGCTTGTAGAACCAACAAGAATTGTGGTTAAATGTTTTTATCGTATATTATTTATATTAAATTATATATAAATAAATTTTATTATTTATAGAGAAAATTCAGTTTTCAGTAGCAATGAGTCTATGTCGTTACACTTTTCATGTTTTAAAAAAAACTTGGGTCAACTTGTATTAGATTTCCCATGTGTAAAAGCTGAACTTAACAATTGATATTAATTAATCTATTTATAAACATTATTTAATTTAATTTTGATTTAGTTTCTAACTGGCAAGGCTTGATAAATTTCATGAGTCTTAAACCTTATTACACGGGTCAATGTTGTAGCATTTTCTAATTGTATGTTTCAAATACAATCTAGCTTCGTCTGGTTTTACACATACAACATTCATGTTTAATTAGACATTTTTCATATAAATATACATAGGCCTATAAATAGAATTATGAACTATAATTGAATTTTATTGATTATTTTATCATATGTTTTTAAAGTTTCACTTGAACAAAAAATTGTAATGGAGTCTACAATCTCTAAATTGTGTAAATAAGTCTCTAGGGGAATTTCTCATCGTCGTAAGAGCTATCACATTCACTCACAAGGATGATGATGATGACGTCACACCATGTCGTAATCTGGGATGTCAGCTTCGTCTTATCAGGGCTGTCATCATCTCCAGTTGGAATCGTCATCATCATCAGCGTAATTGCCATCATTATCATCATCATCGCCATCATCATCGTCGTCACCAAGATCATCGTCATCATTATCATTACCGTTGATACTCTGTATCATCATCATCATCATCATTCAAATCTTCATCATCCTTTTCATCATGATTGCTATCATTTAACCATCTGCATCATCATTCATGTCCTCGCTATCATTATCATAACTTCGTCACCATCATCATCTTCGTTACCATTACCACCATCATCATTATCATCACCATCATCAGCATCATTATCATTACCACCACTATTACTCCGACTACAATAAACGTTATCATCATTAAAATGCGATTAGCACTTTGACAACAACCACCTCCACAACCACCAGTGGCTCTCTCCGTGCTACTTACTTTTTTCACTCTCTTTCATTCTTGACCTCTTCCTCTTGTTCTCTCCTCTTTTCTTTTATTTCACGTTTTAACAATTTTCTCTGAAATCGGTTCAAACGAATTTTTCTAAAACATAACATTATAAATTTGTTCGTCCGTTCGCCAATTAATAAGTTAATTCGTTCGTTTGTTTGTTCATCTATTTATTCGATCATTTATTTATTCAATAATTCATCAATTTACTCACTCACTCACTCACTCACTCACTCACTCACTCACTCACTCACTCACTCACTCACCTCACCTCACCTCACCTCACCTCACCTCACCTCACCTCACCTCACCTCACTCACTCACTCACTCACTCACCTCACTCACTCACTCACTCACTCAACACTCATTCATCCATCACTCACTCATTCATCCATCACTCACTCATTCATCCATACGTTTAATAATTGTCAATTCACTCATTAGCTAACTCACTCACCCATTCATCAATCAATCACTCATTCATTCATTCATTCATCAATTAACTTTTTATTCTCTCACTCATGCATGCACATACATACAGGCAGGCTCGCTGTCGTATTTATTCATTCGTTCGTTCATTCATTCATTCATTCGTTCGTTCTTTTGTTCGTTCGTTCATTCATTCATTTATTCATTCATTCATTCACTCATTCATCACAATTCATTCATTCTATCTCATCTTATGGACCCTGGCCAATCCACTCTTTTTCTCTCTCTCTCTCTCTCTCTCTCTCTCTCTCTCCTTTCTCACCACGTCCCTCACTATCTCATTTCCTTATAATCTCTCCTCACTTTTACTGCACATCTCGCCAGCAGATCATTCCAAGGAATGGAAGCCATGGTGCAGCGTTTATTCAACCCTAAAGGATAATTGATAACATTAATCTCGTATTATTGCTATTTATAAACACATTAATAAACACACGCACACACACACACACACACACACATACACACACACAAACACACACATACATTACATACGTAAACAAACACATACCTACACACACACACGCATACAATACACACAGGCTAACACACATTAACACACACACATAACAGTACACACAAATAAACATGA